TCAAAAATTATTTTTATAAAAGTCTATCTTAACTAATTTTTAAATAATATTTTAGAATTTTTATATGTATATTGTATTTATAGAATATTAAAAAACACTCTACAAATATTTTCTTTTAATTCTTTTATACAAACTTAAATATATATATATATTTTTTTAAGATATAAATGGTCAATAAATTTAAAGCCTACGAAAATATTAACAGAATTAAATATTTTTCCCCAAATCTCGGCTTTAATCAATCAAAATTTATTTAAAACATTATCGATCATCGATAACTTTGATTGCTTTATTGATCAAATTATGCATTTGACCTTGAAGAAATTGCGCACGGTAGCACGCGTAAGTACAAGTGCACCGTAATTTCTTCAATGTTAACGGCACACTAAGAATTGTCGTCATTTATTAATATAAATACGTTCATGTGAGTATCTTTTGATAAAAAAAAATCTTATATATATAAGATCGATCATGTTCTATATTAATATACTTAATTTCATTATGTTTATATTATGTAATATTTTAGATTTTATATTAGAAGACAGAGAAATATTCAATGAATTAATTCAACCAATGCTATTGACAATGGCACTTTTGGGCCTTCATCCCATATATATGAAATTTAACAAACTATATCGTTTATGGAAGTTTTTTGTCGGTCAATTCATTTCTGCAAAGTATTATTTATCATACGTTAACTTTTTACTTTATTTTCTGAATTTCAATGAAACGAACATGTATACAAGTATGACTCTAATTTTAGAATTTGTAACATGTTATTGTTCGTATAAATCTTATACAATTTTTGAAAAATATATTACAAAATTAACGAAACGATTAAACGAAATTGGAAGGAAATTTAATACAGACAACGAAACAATGAAGAAGATTAAAAAATGGACCACCATAAGAGTCTATATTGGTTGGATTTATATAAGTTCTCATATATTTATTACACTTATAAAAAATATATTAAATATGGATCATATTTTTAAATTTTATTATTCGATTTATTTATTTTATATCATTTGGCCTAATTATATTCAGTATATTTTAATTTTAGAAAGAATATCATTCATACTTGTTGTAACTGCACCAATATATTTTTATATATTATTCCTGTGTATAATTAATAAATATATAGCTGGATTATTCGTAATTCATCAACAAGAATCTCTTAATAAATTAAAAAATCGTGATTCTTATGAAATGAAATCAATTTGTAAAACATATAAATATATTTGCGATTGTATTAATTCTATTAATGAAATTTTTGGAGATTTAATTATAAAATGGTTTTGTCTTATATTTACTATGTTTTTTCTTTCTGTACAAATTTTTTATTTTTCAAAAAATCGTAATTTTTACGTCATCGAGCATTTTTATATTCCATATTTCGTATTATGGTTTTGTATCATAGCTGTAATGTGCATCAATGCTGATAACGTCATACAAAGTAGTAAGGGTTTATTAAGATTACTTAATAATTATTTAGTTCATTTAAATTATTATGATAGAGAAATGTTTGATATTTGTGAATTGTTCATTGATTATATTATTTATAAGCATCCAGTAATGTTAGCTGGTGGTGTTATAGAAATTAATAAATATTCTTTAATAGTTATATATTATGTGATTAATGGATATTTGTATATTTGTTATAATTTTTATAAATCAAGAAGATAATATATCTTGATTCATGTATTAAGAAAATGATATTTTGATTCAAACAATAATGATTCATGAGAATAATACAAACAATATACATAAACAAATAATGTTCTATTTGAAATGTTTGCATGTATCATACATGAAGAGAATGATATTACTTTTGATCAAGTTCATATATATATATTAATGCAAAAATATTCAAAATGTTAATATTAAAATAATATTGCTGATGTCTATATATTGTTAAAAATTGAATTATACTTCTGTTAAAATAAAATGATTGATATAATGAGCATGTAATATAAATCCAAAGCAATCTAAATAATAATATTTATGTATTTTTGCTTTTAAAATATTATTCTTACGTTTATGTTATGAAGAAATTGCATAAAGTATGTACTTTAAAATTTTATTTTAAAAATGTTTTATTAGAATTTTCACAAATATATGTATACACATCCACATACTATAATTGTAATAAAAATAAATAACAATAATAATAATAAAAGAATGTTAAACAATTGGTGTTTTGAGAATATG